TCTGCTATGTTCAGTGCCTCAGTGCTGTCTTTTAGTCCAGCCCTTTCCAGCCACTGGTAGGATTTCTCAAAGTCAGCCACCTCAGCTATCTGTCGATGGTACGTCCCATGCAGGGGCTTGTCTTGCCATGGCACTTCCTCCACTTGAACTTCCTCCTGTGTCTGCTGCTGCCTCAGGCATTCTCTCTGCAGCTCAACTTTGGGTGACATCTTACTGATGTACTCCTGGATGCTCTGGGTTTAGTCCAGGACGGTGGCTTTGACATTCACTAGACACCACCTGCCCTCTTTCCAGCTGGCATACAGTCTCTGGGTGCTTGACTTGGGGTGAAAACCTCCGTACATTGTGAGGAGCTTCTGGGTCTTCACATCAGCAGCCTCCATGTCCTCCTTTGGCCAGCTCACGATATACTGGCAGGGTATCCGATGACTGGCATACGTGTTAATGGCATGGATCTTGTTCTTCCCATTGAGCTGGCTCTTTAGGACCTGTCTTATTCTTTGGTGGTACTTGGATGTTGCTGTCTTCCTTGCCTCCTCATTGTACTTCCCATGTGACTGTGGGATACCAAGGTACTTGTAACTGGTCTATATGTCTGCTATGTGGCATGCTGGTAGCTCCACCCCATCAGTCTTAACTACCTTCCCTCTCTTTACTATCATCCAGCCACACTTGTCCAGTCCAAATGACATCACAATGTCCTCACTGTAGATCTGTGACAGGTGAATCGAATCAATGTCTCATTCACTCTTAGCATACAGTTTGATGTCATCCATGTAGAGCGGGTGACTGATGGTAGTTCCATTCTTGAACTTGTATCACCAGTCCTTGTGATTATCTCGCTGAGGGGGTTCAAGCCTATGCAGAACAACAGCAGGGACAGTGCATCACCTTAATATATGCAGTTCTTGTGTGAGCTGTCTTGAGTTGACTTCCAGTGTTGTCTTCCACAGTCCTAGGTCCTTAGTGTCCTGTTGACTTTGTATAGTGCCAGGAATTCACAGATCCATGTGTGTGGCATTGAGTCACAGGCTTTCCTGTAGACAATCCAGGCTGTGCTCAGATTGGTCTGTCTAGACCTTGAGTCTTGGGCGACTGCTCTATCTATGAGCAACTGGTGTTGTTCCAATGTCCTTCTGAGCTGTGCTCATGTATTGGCCCATATGGTCCTGTAGCTGGGTGGCTATAATGCCTGATAGGACTTTCCATGTTGTAGGGAAGCAGGTTATTGGCTGGTATTTGGACGGTGCTGTTCCCTTGTGGGAGTCTTTCATGATCAGCACTGTCCTTCCTTGTGTTAGCCAGTCTGGATGGGAGCTTGTTGCCAGCAGCTGGTTCATCTGTGCTGCCAGGCGTTCATGCACTGCTGTTAGTTTCTTTAGTCAAGAGGTGTGGATCATGTCTGGGCCAGATGCTGTCCAGCTCTTCATGTTCTTGACTCGCTGTTGAATGGCTGCTACTGTGATGGTGACTGGTTCCTGTTCTGGGAGATTGCTGTGGTCTGCTTTCACAGCAGGCAGCCACTTTGCACTAGTGTTATGTGTCTTTTCTTTCTCCCATATGTTCTTTCAGTACTGTTCAGTTTCTGCTGTTGGTGGCTCTGCTTTTACACTGTTGTTGCACTGCAGTTGGGAGTATACTTTGGATGGTTCTTTGGAGAACAGGGCATTTATCTTCTTGACCTCTGCTAGTGTGTCTCCTTAGCCTACCAGCCAGTCCTGTGAGCCTTTGTTTAGCAGTCTCTAAGGCTTCAGATGGAGTCAAGCCCTTGTATTTTTTCAGTAGCCAAGTCTTATTCTTAATCTCCACACTCTTCTGTAGTTTCACCAGCTGACTAACTTCTCTCCGAGTTGCCTTGATCTTAGCCTCCAACCTCATTTTCCAGGGAGCAGAGGTATGTAATGCTGTTTTCTTGATCACGTAGCCAAGCATCTCCAAGATTGCAGCAGCTATAGCATATACCAGTTCACTGGTTTGAGTTATGGTGGTAGTAGGGATTGTCGTGAGGGCTCTATTGGCATCTTCTAGCATACTACCTGATGGTTCTTCTCCACTGAGCCTTGGTAATCAGTCTCGAGGATTGACTGTAGCTAGTTTATCCATGATCTTATGCTTCATAACAGCTGCTGTGCTCTGTAATTGGGGGGGAGGGGTTGGCAGTGACATTCCAGCTTCAGGTATTGGCTGTACATCCAGTTGATTTTCCAGGTCTTCTTGAGTCCAGGATGTAATATGTAGTTGGTCTATCTCAAGTTGTGAGAGCAGCTTCCTCTTCACTATGCTGAAGCATTGGGTAACTAGCTGTTTCTCAGTTAGCATGGATGTAGGTCTTCTGTCCACCCATAGTTCCCTCATACGTTTCATATATCCCCTTTCATTAGGGCTACTGTTGTGGTAGCATTCCATCAATTCCAGATTCTCTTGTCTCATCCATGTATGGTTTGTTCCAGTAGCTCACTTATCATCAGATTGTCCTGGTTCCCCAACATCTGGTGCAGACCTTGTTAATCCAGGCGATGTCCGAGTCAGCATGACTCTCTTAGTTCATGTCACTCTCATATTCAAGGTAGACAGATGAAGCATTAGAGGGTCTTTGCCCAAGGACCCCTACTGGTAAGGTAGGTACCAGTGGGATTCAAACCCCAGTCTCCCATGGCAAAGGGTAGTGCTCTAACCACTATGCTATCCAGCTGCTCTGCATGTACACACACACACACACACACACACACACACACACAC